GGGTCCTCTGGTACATGTACAGGCTGGGCTGGGCCCTCTGGTACATGTACAGGCTGGGCTGGGCCCTCTGGTACATGTACAGGCTGGGCTGGATCCTCTGGTACATGTACAGGCTGGGCTGGACCCTCTGGTACATGTACAGGCTGGGCTGGACCCTCTGGTACATGTACAGGCTGGGCTGGACCCTCTGGTACATGTACAGGCTGGGCTGGGCCCTCTGGTACATGTACAGGCTGGGCTGGGCCCTCTGGTACATGTACAGGCTGAGCTGGGCCCTCTGGTACATGTACAGGCTGGGCTGGGCCCTCTGGTACATGTACAGGCTGGGCTGGGTCCTCTGGTACATGTGCAGGCTGAGCAGGGTCCTCTGGTACATGTACAGGCTGGGCTGGGCCCTCTGGTACATGTACAGGCTGGGCTGGACCCTCTGGTACATGTACAGGCTGAGCAGGGTCCTCTGGTACATGTACAGGCTGGGCTGGACCCTCTGGTACATGTACAGGCTGAGCAGGGTCCTCTGGTACATGTACAGGCTGGGCTGGACCCTCTGGTACATGTACAGGCTGGGCTGGGCCCTCTGGTACATGTACAGGCTGAGCTGGGCCCTCTGGTACATGTACAGGCTGAGCTGGGCCCTCTGGTACATGTACAGGCTGAGCTGGGCCCTCTGGTACATGTACAGGCTGGGCTGGGCCCTCTGGTACATGTACAGGCTGGGCTGGGCCCTCTGACACATGTACAGGCTGGGCTGGGCCCTCTGGTACATGTACAGGCTGAGCTGGACCCTCTGACACATGTACAGGCTGGGCTGGACCCTCTGACACATGTACAGGCTGGGCTGGGTCCTCTGGTACATGTACAGGCTGAGCTGGGCCCTCTGGTACATGTACAGGCTGAGCTGGGCCCTCTGGTACATGTACAGGCTGAGCTGGGCCCTCTGACACATGTACAGGCTGAGCTGGGCCCTCTGGTACATGTACAGGCTGAGCTGGGCCCTCTGACACATGTACAGGCTGGGCTGGGTCCTCTGGTACATGTACAGGCTGGGCTGGGCCCTCTGGTACATGTACAGGCTGGGCTGGGCCCTCTGGTACATGTACAGGCTGGGCTGGGTCCTCTGGTACATGTGCAGGCTGAGCAGGGTCCTCTGGTACATGTACAGGCTGGGCTGGGCCCTCTGGTACATGTACAGGCTGGGCTGGACCCTCTGGTACATGTACAGGCTGGGCTGGGTCCTCTGGTACATGTACAGGCTGGGCTGGACCCTCTGGTACATGTACAGGCTGGGCTGGACCCTCTGGTACATGTACAGGCTGAGCAGGGTCCTCTGGTACATGTACAGGCTGGGCTGGACCCTCTGGTACATGTACAGGCTGGGCTGGACCCTCTGGTACATGTACAGGCTGGGCTGGGTCCTCTGGTACATGTACAGGCTGAGCTGGGCCCTCTGGTACATGTACAGGCTGGCTGGATCACTCGTCATAACTGTGTTTGTTGCTTCAGAGTAATTATTATTTGTATTTATTATTTGCTCTCGCAGGATCGAACTCTTAGCTCTTGGACTCCGCCTTTCATGACGTCAGTTGCCCGATGTACTGACTCTCAACCTATTTCCTCTATCACATCCACTACACATCTTTCTGGTAGATGTGTAGCTGCACCCCGTAGTATTTTTCTATCTCCCAGGTACCTATTTAGTGCGGGGTTAACAGCGGCATCAGGTGAAAGAATCTCTGCCTATTTTGTACAAACCATTACTTCTGACCTATTTCCTTATCGCATCAAATTTTAAAATTATGAATGGGGTGTGTGTGTGTATGTGTATGTATGGACGTGTCTGTGTACGCGTGTACGTACTCACCTAGGTGTGGTGTTAGGGTTGAGCTAAGCTCCTGGCCCCGCCTTCCCAACGTTCGTAGATTAAAGCAGTGACTCCTCTCTCAGGCGGATTTCACTTACTGACGGCTCTAACGAACCATTTTGTCTAACAAATGAGAACTTCCGTTTCTCGTTTCCACCACCTCCCCCTTTCCCCTTGTTCTGGTGTTCCTAGCTTCTAAGAATGTTATTTGGTCTAATTTGTAATTTTCCCTCAGAACCTTATATGTCGTCGACAGTTAGTCCCTCTCCTCCGACAACTTCTCTTCTGTGTTTAGGTCCATCTCTCAATCCTTCAAATAAAAAGCGAGACCCGTTGCACATAATGGATAATTTCTAGTTTCCCTTGTCATTGTTGAGGTGAGAGTTGCATGGTGTGAGTGCCTAATGTAGCATGGGTCTCACCGTTAATGTGGAGAGGGCCTGGCAAGGCTCCTCTATCCATGTGTGTCACTGTTACAATGACGTTCCGATGGGAGCCGGTCGGCCGAACGGACAGCACGCTGGACTTGTGATCCTGTGGTCCTGGGTTCGATCCCAGGCGCCGGCGAGAAACAATGGGCAGAGTTTCTTTCACCCTATGCCCCCCTGTTATCTAGCAGTAAAATAGGTACCTGGCCTCCACCCCCAGGAAGCAGCCCGTGACAGCTGACTAACACCCAGGTACCTATTTTACTGCTAGGTAACAGGGGCATAGGGTGAAAGAAACTCTGCCCAATGTTTCTCGCCGGCGCCTGGGATCGAACTCAGGATCACAGGATCACAAGTCCAGCGTGCTGTCCGCTCGGCCGACAGGCTCCCAGCGACCGGCATCATCTTAAAATGGTGAACACATTTTAGAACTTGGGTCCGTCAGAAGCGTACACGAACATGTAGGACTAGTTTTATGTTCATTTTGCCCACCAGCAAAAAGAGCAACCCAATTTCTAGTTACAAGAGCTTGCCTTACATGGTGAAGACATTGAGAATCATGATATATTCCATAATGTTTGAGTACACAGATAATCGATACGTGCATAGATAATCTGTTCAACCGTGTCTTCCTAACACAGAAACTTTATTTTTTCGTTCAGTTTAAAGTTTCGCCGCAGTAGCAGTTGGCCGTGAAAGGTATTGGGAGGTGTAGTGAGAGGTTTCCTGGACTCCTTAAGGTTGTGTACTGAGGTGTAGAGGTGTCTTCTGGCCCCTTGACGTCTTCCAAGAGGCCGGGCCAGAAGGAAGACAACGTATGTGCACTCCTTGACACTATGTGACACTGTGGCACACTGTGGCACTGCACCTCAACTGCCACACTTCTGGGCTTGTGTGTTGTATGATACAGGTGTATACCTTGTATGACTCACCGCAATGTAAACTGGTTCTTTTATACACCACAAACACTTACACTTTTCTTGGCTTTAGTAACTTGCATACACCCTACTCGCATACACCCTACTTAAACACGTAAGGGTTACAACAGCCAGGGGTGTGCCAGGTGCCGGCGTGAAGGGCAGTCAGGTATGTGAGTTTGATCCTGTTGTGCATAAGTTGCGGTGCTTGCTCTTGGGGCCAGTTTGTGGGGGTGATGGGAGTGGATGACTGGGGTGTTGGGTGATAGTGGAGGGTCAGAGGTGCTGAAGCTGCAGTAGGGGGAGCCTGATGGGTGACCCTGACCGCGGCAGCCACCTGTGTGCTGACCACTCATGTACACATCTCACCCGCCGCCTGCACCTGTTGCTACTGGTGAGGCGGCTGCTACTTGAGGTTATCTTGAGGTTATCTTGAGATGATTTCGGGGCTTTAGTGTCCCCGCGGCCCAGTCCTCGACCAGGCCTCCACCCCCAGGAAGCAGCCCGTGACAGCTGGCTAATACCCAGGTACCTATTCACTGCTAGGTAACAGAGGCATAGGGTGAAAGAAACTCTGCCCATTGTTTCTCGCCGGCGCCTGGGATCGAACCCAGGACCACAGGATCACAAGTCCAGCGTGCTGTCCGCTCGGCCGACCGGCACCGGCTCCTACTGTTGCTGCTACTGTTGCTGCTGTTGCTACTGCTACTGTTGCTGCCTCTTCTGTGGTAAATAACTACCCACTGTGTTCATTATCCCATTTAACAAAGCGAACAGTTAGTTGTAACAGGACGATAACGATTGATGATAATAACCTGATCATTAAAGATATAAAGTATGAGACTGATAACCGTGGAGGAAACACGGAGTTCAAACCGCACATTCTCCACCATAGTATTGTTGTACACTAAAAGTCAGATGCTTGAGGCTAGTCTCACCAACGTTGTAGGGTGAATGGTCTAGGGTATGGGACGAAGATAGACGGGTCCAGTAGCCATCCAGTAGCCCAGACCAGGGAGCCGGTCGGCCGAGCGAGGGAGCCGGTCGGCCGAGCGGACAGCACACTGGACTTGTGATCCTGTGGTCCTAGGTTCGATCCCAGGCGCCGGCGAGAAACAATGGGCAGAGTTTCTTTCACCCTATGCCCCTGTTACCTAGCAGTAAAATAGGTACCTGGGTGTTAGTCAGCTGTCACGGGCTGCTTCCTGGGGGTGGAGGCGTGGTCGAGGACCGGGCCGCGGGGACACTAAAAAGCCCCGAAATCATCTCAAGATAACCTCAAGATAACCCTCTTCCCCAGAACCGGTGAAAGGTGGCTGACAGACTCCCTAGATTTATTCACTAAGTATTATGAATTTAGCGTTATATTTCTGAGACAGAGGGAAGACAGGTGGAGATAGGGTAGGGGAGAGGTGAGGAATGGTAGAAGAATGGGAGATAGGGGAAGTGAGGGGAGATGGGAAGGTGGAAAGGTGGAGGAGCTGAGAGAGGGGAGGGGGGCGATGGGAAAGGGGGGGGAGGGGACAGACTCTGACGCATTTAAGAATTTAGTTTAGTTAGAGAAGCAGAGTACTGTTGTCTTATATATATATCGTGTGCTTTGAGTCGACCAATCAGAAGACATAAATGATAGACCTATACCTCATTGGGGTAATTATCTATCGTGATACAAGCATTCCGAGTACATTATAATTAGTGTACGTTACTTAGGGCAATACGTACTCGTATTACTGTACATATTACAGGCGGTCAGTTTAGAACCGGGAATCTCTTAACGGGAATCAAATCTATACTGATAGATTGACCAAACTGTTCAAACTCTAGGGAAATTCAGTCCCAGATTTTGTTACCAACATACACTGTGTGAGTGTGTACTCACTTAGTTGTGCTTGCGGGGGTTGAGCTCTGGCTCTTTGGTCCCGCCTCTCAACTATTAATCAACTGGTGTACAGATTCCTTAGCCTACTGGGCTCTTATAATATCTACATTTAAAACTGTGTATGGAGTCAGCCTCCACCACATCACTGCCTAATGCATTCCATCTGTTAACTACTCTGACACTGAATGTGTGTGTGTGTGTGTGTGTGTGTGTGTGTGTGTGTGTGTGTGTGTGTGTGTGTGTGTGTGTGTGTGTGTGTGTGTGTGTGTGTGTATAGGATGCGAGTCCTCGTCCCCCACCAACCCAATCTTTGTTGTTCTTACATGCACAAATAAAAAACAAAAAAGATCTTTCACAAACCCACTTGGAAAGACACTTCCAGAATATGTGTGATGAGACATCAAAATTTGTAATATTGTAAAGTAGATGTGTCTTATACGATGTAAACAAGACGTATGTATTCCATGTGTTGAGCAAAGGTCATAGTTCACATAACATGTGGGGAGAGTATATGTACACAATGTGTACTATGGCGTCTAAGGCAATAATCTAACCTCTTCCAGGCCTAGTATGATACTAATATGTACTGCAATATGAGCCTAAGATTTGCCTCTCATGTTTCTATCGTCTGACCCCCGCGTTCTGCTGTTTCTAGCTTTGACCACTAGCTTTGTCTACTTTGTCAATTTTCCTTTGAATCTTGTATGGTGTTAACATGTCCCCTCCCCCTATACCTCCTTCCCTCCAACGTGGTAAGGTCCAGCGCTCTCAGTCTTTCCTCACCACTCGGTCCCCTCGTTGCATATCTAGACCTTTTATAGTGTCTCCTGGACCTTTTTTCAGGCAAGGGTTCCATGCTGGGGCTGCATATTGAAGAGTAGGGTCTCACCTTCGCTGTATATAGGGCCGGGAAAGCCACTTGTGTGTGTCTATGCGCGCGCAATGTCAAATATTGTAATTCATGTCATATATCGAAGGTAAATTGTTATTGAAGATATGATGAAAATGTCAAAAGAGACATGAGCATTATAGTTGAAGTATGGGGTAAATGCTGGGACAGCTTCCCGTCTCCTAGCAACACACACACACACACACACACACACACACACACACACACACACACACACACACACACACACACACACACACACACACACACACACACACCTGTGGTGTTCCCAACCTTCCACATGACCAGCAGTCAATTAACATCTACTGATGTTAACTATATTGAACAAATTCTCTTATAAACCCAATAATATTGAGCGAATTAAGAAATGAAATTTGAGTGTCAAGAAATGTGGTGGCGGGCAGTGTGGAGGAGCGAGGAGGCTGGGGTCATCTCTGAGCCAGCAACATTCCCAGCAAGATGGCGTATCTCTACACTTATCGCGCTCATATCTTATGACGGTCACTCAGCGTGAGCCGTCAGTCGTGTCGACCAGTGTGTCAAGGACAGCAGCGAGCACCAAACGTTTCTTTAGTGATTGAGATATTAATAACACCTTTGGGCACATTGGCGGCCACTGCTGACGAGTGGGAGGGTAGTTAGCGTGATCCCAATTACGGCTGACGAGTGGGAGGGTAGTTAGCGTGATCCCAATTACGGCTGACGAGTGGGAGGGTAGTTAGCGTGATCCCAATTACGGCTGACGAGTGGGAGGGTAGTTAGCGTGATCCCAATTACGCCTGACGAGTGGGAGGGTAGTTAGCGTGATCCCAATTACGGCTGACGAGTGGGAGGGTAGTTAGCGTGATCCCAATTACGGCTGACGAGTGGGAGGGTAGTTAGCGTGATCCCAATTACACCTGACGAGTGGGAGGGTAGTTAGCGTGATCCCAATTACGCCTGACGAGTGGTACGGTAGTTAGCTTGAACTAGCAATGAAGACTTACAGCCTTGTTAGTGTGAAAATTTGAAAGTGTAATTCAAAAACTATTTGCGTGTACTCTGTAATTTCATTTACGTAAACCCAAATTCTGAACATGTTTCAAAGAAGACATGTTCAGCATATATTTTTTTTATATTTTAAACCAACGAGTTATAACGCAATAAAGTTACAACTTAAGAATATTCTCTGTTGAGGACAAAGGTTCACTTGCTCGTTTACATGTAGACTCTTACTGGTATCGTAATATACTTTCGCGCCATTACAAATATCTAGATAATTATCCAGGTGGTTTGAGGGTGGGTTTGTTTCTCAGGGTAATAGATTTGTTGTGAGGACGGGCTGAGATCTAGCCCAACTGGTTCTGTGGCTGATAATGA